TTTTATATACTTAATAAATGTGTCAATATTATCTACAGTAGGGTGATCAAATAATTTCAAAAAATTTCAAAATAAATTCAATTATATATATAGTCTGAGCGTTTTTTTTTTTTCACAGGCGTCTCCTGAAGTTTCATGTTTTGTTTTAATTTTTAAAACAAACTTTTCCGCTCTACAAAAACGATCTCATTTGATTATTTCAATAATAATATTATTTTAAAATTTATATACTTATTTCAAAAGATGGATTTATTTGCTTTGGAAAAAAGAAATTTATTGCAAAAGATTAAAAAATTCCATCTTAAATATATGGGAAAAGTATATTCATTTAGGCACGATTTAAATTGAAAATAAAGAGGTTGTTGTTAACGTAGAGTTCTTTTTCTTAAGACAAAAACTGAATCTTCAGGAGACGTTTACAAAAAATTAAAAAACTTGAGAAATAACGGACACACTAATATATATATATATATAAACAGTGTTGTAAAAAAAAAACAGTAACACTCTAGTTGCATCCGTTGTCTTCAAATATTGCGTACAAATCGAAAGTAATATTAATTTATTTTGCTTATACTAGATTATCAGGAAGAAAAAAATTTTTTTTTCAAATATTCTATTAACAAAAAAATTTAATTTAATTTTTTGCGAGCTTTCCAAATTATTTTACTAACACCCTTATTTAAATAATATTCAGTGATACTGCCATTATTTTTAAAACTGCAGAGCACTTCCTTACTATTTAATTTAAAGCATCCAATTCGTTTTTTAGGTAGAGAGGCCACTTCATCACATTAAATTTTTATACCTGGATCCATTTATTAACAACAAGTTGTTGCATTCCCATTTCAAGGTCATTTCTTCCTCCGCATATGGTAGCATTATCTTCGCCAATATATTATCGTAGACTGGAGAACACATTTTTGCTTTTATCCAAAATATCAGACCATCTCCTCAGTGAGAAAAGCTTCCCCTGGGCATAATATTACCTTCACCATGTTTGCCAGTTTTTTTGAACATTTCATCAGATTATTGCAATTTTGATGCGTCATGTGTCGGTCTGCAAAAGCCCATCTTTTACGATATTATTTTTACTTAGAAGTGGAACTTTTCTAGCTGAGCGTGCCTTTAAACCGTTTTGAATTAGTCTATTCTACGAGAATTTTGTTCGACTTAGCATTAATATTTTTGTATTTTTGATTTCCGAATTAAAAGGTCTTCGAACTTTTGGAATGAGGCTCGCTTTCTCCTCTGTTTATCCGTTGTGTACTTAAAGTGTATTTCGGAAACCATTGTCGTGCATTATTGCAACAATTTACTCTAATTTTTTCCTTCGTTTTTATTTATTTTTTTAATGATATTCCTACCTACAGCTGTGCAGTGCACTTCGAGACACTTTCTAAATATCAAAGCCGAATATAACGTATTTCACAAAATTAGTTATTTAAAGGTAAAATTACTTGAAACTATTTAATCTAAATCTCCTTTTCCGAAATTAATAGAAAAAACGAAAGATATACATGGAGTTGTGGATAGTTTCTATATGATCCGGTAAAGTTTTTTTTCCAAAAGTGTATTTGTACATATGAATATAAAATATAAACAAAAACTAATTCGGTTAAGAAATCAACTTGAAAATGAACTTCATAGAGATTAACATACATATATATGTATGTACCATATAACCGTTCATTTTTTGTCAATTAATTTTATACAATAAACAGGATATATTAAGTTTGCCACGAAGTTTGTAACAGCTAGGAGGAAACGTCGGAGACCCTATAAAATACAATATTTATGGTATATAAATGATCGGCATGACGAACTAAGTCGATTTGGCCATGTCTGTCTGTTCATCTTTATACGTATAGCATACAGCTACCATACAAACTGAACGATTGAGATCAAGTGCTTGTATGGAAAGCTTTTTCATTTGACGAAATATCTTCAAGAAACTCGGCATGGGTTATTGTCCAAGGCAATACAAACTGACTAAACTATATTTTGTATTTATGTAGGGTATTATAGCTTCGATGCAACCGAAGTCAACGTGTTTTCTTGTTTGTATGTAAAATGCATAATCGTACATACTATGTATAAATTTGTATCTTGGAAGTATAAAGTCAAATCGCCAAAGTTGATATACCATATTTCTCTTATTGAAGTTAAGACCTAGTTAAGAGTTAGGGCTCAAGTGGTTGCTCTCTATTTCTATGAAATAATTTTTGGAGGGCTGCAAACTTAGTGGTGAGAAATTTTTATTAATTTGTTTGGTCTTCATTGAGAAATCTGACCGTTAATCATCTAGAATCTAGTGTCAAGGTTGTCATATAAAGACTACCGCAATGTATAAATATACATATTATATATTAAGATAAACTAAATTTGTAAACTTCTTTTTTAGAATTCAATTTGCAGACTCTCATTTTTTTCTTCCTATTTTCCTTATATAACCTGACTTTGGCAAAACTTTTAAAAAAGTAAATCACTCGACTTTCATACAAAAACTTGATGTTCTTGGCTTTCAGCCAAGATTATTTCAATTGATATCTTCTTATCTTAATCATAAATCCCAGCGAGTGATATTTAATGATACTCTCTCAGATTTCAAAGAATTAATGTTTCTTACGGTGTTCCGCAAGGCAGTCATCTTGCTCCGTTTCTATTCTTATTATTTATTAACTATAGTTCTTCTGTAATAGAATACTCAAACATTTTCTATAAGCCAAGAACGTAAAGTTGTTTACTTCAACCCATTAATGGTATCTGTTGCAACAGACTTAAACAATTTGGTTGTTTGGTGTGATAGAAATGATACGCCACTGAAGATTAAAAAATGTAGGACGAAGAGCTTTTGCCATAGATCTGTGCACACCTCTCCCTATGTAATTAAAAGCTATAGTCTAGACTCTCGAGCATATATAGACATTCCAGGCGGGAATCATTATCGAGTAGAGACAATCATAGCCACACCCACTTTAATTTCGATTTCGATCAGCGCTGATCGATTATGGCACCGCAGAGTGGATGCGAGATTCAGCGATGAATTCCGTGCGTACTTTGCTATTATACTGCACTCTGCGGGCACCCTAAGGGTAAATAAATTTAGGCACAGAATAGCACTGTTAGAATATAGTTCAACTTTTGATAGACTAAACAGTTTGCATTTGTTAATGGCATGTTTATGCTCTCAAACCGAGTGAGTCAGTAAATCTCCGATAGGCTGTTTTAAAATTGTGTTTTACCTACATTACTCTTTAATTATATAAGTAATTTTTTATATTCGATAATAAAAAATGGAAATATATTATGTATGTATGATATATTAAGATAAATTGTATAAAGATTGGTATCATTATCAGTACTTATTCGTTCTAATCAACCATTTACTTTTTATACCCTGAACAGGGGTTAAGTTTGCCCTATATCCTATAAAATATATTGTATATATGAATAATTAGCCTGACGTGCTGAGTTGATTTAGCCATTCTCGTCCGTCTGTTATATACGCCAACAAGTCCCTCAGATTTTGAGATATCGCTCAGAAATTTTGTAAACTTTTGTTTTTGACAAGATATATTGATGAAATTTGGCATAAACGATTGTCCAAGGCAACGCCACAAAATCTGGAAAGATTTTTCAGATCGGACCATTATAGCACATAACTGCTATACAAACTGACGGTCAAAATATTGTTCTTGTATAGAAAACTTATTTATTTTTATTTTTTCTCAACACCTAATCTTTGTTTTTACTCTCCTTATTCGCTTCTGACTGGTCCTAGACTGAATATACACCAATCATAGGGTCTAATGGTGAGCATATCATTATTACCACACGCCCATAAGATCCACCTCTCATAAAATTGAATCCAAGTCGTTTGGAAGTAAGTTAGTTGTTGTCACCTTGTTTCAGCGGGCTGGGGTAACAGGTAAAGAGGTGTTAGATGGGACGACGAGTTGGCCCGCTCTGCAGCCTCCACAAAAATGGTAGTACCAAAACCATGCGTAGCGGGTTGTCCACATACCATTAAAGAGCTGCTCCGTAGGGAGGAAAGAGTAGGCAGGAGATACATTGGCAACAACTCCAAGGCATGCGCCATGCCAGGTTGCAATTGGCGGGGTTACGACCTCAAACGGTTTAAAGCCATAATCAATCTTCCGAGGAACAAATTCCGGCTGCTTGTCGCGTTCTACACCGGCCATTGCAGGCTCAATAAGCATCTATTCAACATGGGCTTAGTCTCTTCTGCAAACTGTTCTGTTCTGTAACATGGAGCCGAAAACCCCAGAGCACCTGCTCGTGGGCTGCACAGCAGTCTGCAGACGCAGAATTAAGGCCCTGGAAGCAGGGAGGGATCGCATCGCTTCACTAGCAACCAGCAGAATATTGGAGTTTCATCATGCTGGAGCTAGATGAATCTATATGACTTAGGGAAGGGCACAATAGACCATAGGTCGCGTGGCATATCTCTAAGCTATTCTATCTATCTAGATGGAAGTTTTTGTGAGGACCTTTAAAGAAATAGTTGGTGTTCTGCAGGAGCTCGTTGCATGTGAAACACACGTATGGGTGGTATGTTAGTTTGGTCCGGATATGTAGTAGTTTAACATTTTACAGTATCAGCACAATTCTGTGTGTATTAGTTAGATGGCAGCTTTCAATGAACAACAACGAGCATCAATGAGCGTTTAAACAGTTTTTTTAGAAAACGAACTTACATTTTATCGATTGGTAAACGTTTTTCTTTCTGTAATGATGGATTTACAATAGATGTTGTTGTTGTTGTAGCGACAACAAACGCTGTCCAAATAATTTTCAAATTGATTTTCGTTAATTATACGATAATTGAATCTTCGATAGATTCAGTAATTATATAACTTCAATGTATTTAGTATATTTTAAGTGGGAACATGCCATACATAATTTACGGACGCAATGTAATGCAATATAAGCTTTATTTAATACCCAAATGTTTGCTTTATATAAAATAATACATTAAATAAATAACATCAATTTGTAGTTAATTTTATTTGTATTATTGTATGCACTTAAGTGAACTACTTCTTACAATTGATTTTTTTTCCAGTTTATATTAAATAATAAAAGATTGTGTGCAATCCGTTTTTGTTTTTTGTTTGTTTGTATCTTTATAATTGATGTAATGCTTAAATATGTAATATTCTTATCATTTTCTTCGCACAGTAATAATCTGCATACGTTCAATAAACCAGCTCGTTATGTATGTTGACCTCGCGATGGTATTTAAGTTTACACTGTTTTTAGCCATTATTATTTAATCCTTGCCATTTTTTACTTCGGCTAAATTAAAAAATGATAAAAAATTGTAAATGAAAATGTTGAATTTTAAGTGATTACGCTGCAAATAGAAAAAAGAGAAACAAACAACGTTAAAACAGTCACTTTCAAAAACAAAGAAGACTAGACATAATATGGATAACGTATGTATGTATGTAAAGCAAGCATTTGCATGAAAATTATTGTATATAAAACACTCGTATATACAAGTATGTGTAAATAGACGCCTCTTTGTAGTATGGATTCAATTACCATAAGTTCTCTTGTTGTTTACTCTTCCTAACAATGAACACAGCCATTCCTAACACATTTATCTATCGTTAAGAATGATAAAACAAACACTAAGATATTAACATAAAACATAATTACTATTATCAGAAGCGATAAGTAATCCGTCTAAGTTATATTGTTTGCATGATTGCAATTTTAACTTTCTTTGTTGATAAATAACCATTGCAGTAGAAACGCCTTAACCTAGATATTAGACAAATCCTAAAAATCTTAATTGGTGAGAAATTCCAAGCGAATTTTCAGTTAACAAATATGGTGAAAATGCACAACAGACACATACTGGATAAACGGACATTAATACATTGATTGCAACAAATAAAATGAGATAATTCATTACCAGAATGAATATATTGTATAATAAACAGATTAAAAATAAATTTCACTCAACTAACAATTAAATGCATCTTCCTCTACGGTACGCTCTGTTGGCGGCTGGACAGCCAATTTAGCCATTAAGGCTGCAGAATTCACTTTACCCTCAACTGGTGGAATAACACTTCTAAATATGTCTAATTCCATTTCTAAGCATTATAGAAAGTAATTAATAACTAAATCATTATATAGCAACAGATATGCACGTCGGAAAGTGTTTATTTACCTGCTGCGATACCCGCAATCGCTTCTGACGCAAAATGTTTTACGTCGACATCTGGATCGACATTTAGCTTCTCAAGTGTGGGTTTCACCTGTGAGTCAATAACACTAGCTTCAAGGAAAGGTGAAATTTTCTGTAGTGTTTTTGCAACATTAAATCGAACATTGGCTACTGGATCTGCTGCCAATAGAAGTACTGTGGGTAGCAACAATTTGGTTGTGATATCTGTTCCACAAACCTCAGCGAGCATATTTAAGCAAAAAAGACAAGTCATACCTATGAATAAACAATGTTATATTAACTGTTATTGTAAATAAATATATTATTACTTACGGTGTAAATAGTTTTTATTACGTGACATAACCAAGATCATAGGAATAATAGCTTGCTCAGCCCATTGGGCACCAAACTGTTCAACTAACTTCTTCATATTCAAAGTTGCTGCTTCTCGAATGGCGTACACATGATCATTTAACCAACCCATACATAAGCCACGAAGCTTTTGATCGAAGAATTCTTGCCCTAATTGACCGGCTAATGCGGGCATATATTCAATAATTGCCAAACGTACTCGCCATTTTGAATCTTCAGCTAATTCAACAATAGCTGGCAATAGCGACTAGATAAATGTGAAAAAAATCATATTAGAATACAAAAATATGTAAATACGGCAAATTAATTATCACCTGTGACAGTTGTTGAATACCGATGACGTCATTTACACAATCCAAGTTGGATATTATATTTAAACGAACCTCTGGGCATTCATCTTTAAGTTGTATAAGGAATAAGGGCAAAAGATGCTCGACAGTGTTGTACGCCCCCAACATAGGACTTAATCCCATAATAACTGACGCCAAAGCAGATTTTACATGAGGATTGGGATCTGACACCAAATCGCGCACATATGGCAATATTGAATTCATGATAATCTGGACTTGGTTGGTTTTATCAAGATTAGCGCAGAAATCCTTAACTTTTGTAGCAACTGCAGCACGGACTTCAGCTTCTGCATCCTTCAGTAAATACTAAAAAGGCAAACAAGGTGATATATATGTATGAATAAAGCGCGGTCAGACGAAATAACACAGTTCGATCAAGATTTACGTACATATACATATAATAATAGTAAAATTTTTGACCACCAACCTGAAAAGCGGGCACCAAGTCAACACGTGTAATTTCTGGCCCAACAGCCTTTTGTAAATCTACAAACTTTTCTGCCACCATATATCGAACCCGCCAAGATGAATCGCTGGCACATTGGCGTAGAGTCGGTAGAACTAACTGTAATGAAACAAGTTAAGCAAGAGGCTATGTTGATAGATATTATTATTTTCTTACGTGCTCAACATCTTCTTGAGGTAGCAATTGGGCAATGCTAACACAGGCTTCTACGGCCAACAAACGTACAGAATCCTTTTAAGAAAATCAAAAAGATAGTAAAAAACCATTGGATTTAATCACAAAAAAGTACATACTTGATCATCTTGGGCTAATTGCACAAAATTCGGTATTAAATCTGATTTCAGATATTCAATTTCAACGACTTTTGCAAATTCTCCTAATTTGCTAGCTGCAGCTCTGCGTACCATCGGAGTTTCGTCTTGACACAACTTACGGAAGTTTGCACGTAATTCTGCTTTTACGGGTTGAGTAACTCTTGGATAACATACAGAGAAGAGTCCACAGGCTGATGTACGTGAAGTGAACCAATCACCTGAGACCAAACGTTGCAATGTTGGTACAACGTGTATTTCCAAATCTTGGGCACTATGCTCTGCTGCCACTGTACGCAATGATTCTACAGCTTTGTCACGCACCACAGTTTCTTCAACTGTTGCTAAACTCTCCAAAGGTGGTATTAAATACATGGCATATTCTGGTCCACCCACCAAGCCTAAATAAAAACAAATATAATTACACATTTTATTTCTTTGAACGAGTGAATTTTTAGGAATCACTTGTAAAATTGCCGAGTTGATCAGCCAGTGCCAAAAGTACTTCATCTTCGTCATAGATTGTTTCGGTCAAAAACGGAATTAGTTCAGAACGTGTACGTTCTTCGCCCAGCGCAAGAGCAATTGTCGACAGTTTTTTAATCGAGTTCAAACGTAACTAATAGATATAAACAACAATATATGTCAAAGCAACATATGTACATAACTACATTAATTAAAGCATTTCTCAAACCTGCACATCCTCATTTTTCAACTCATCGATTAATACAGCGATCGGGTAGAGGGAGTCATCGACAGATTTGTCGCTTGCTGCCATTTTTTCACAAGTTCAATTTTCGGTTGAAGAAGTCAAATTTATTGTACTGCTGCACAATTTGTATAATATCGTTCTTTTACTTGATCAGTTTAATCGAACTGCGAAATTTATTAAAGTAATCCACCAAAAAATTTTCAGACTAAATTCTTATGCTTTCTTACGATTGATGTAAACCCGAAGGAGGGTCGTATTCCGAATGCATGCACGCAGGGAAGATATACTCGACAAAGTAATCGAGAAATTATTTTCGGACAACAGTCCGAATGTACGGTGTTCTACCACCAATATTACGCTTTGCAAATCGTTCTTATATTGTGCATTATGTCTTATAAAAATTAATAAATATTTCAATAAAATTATGCTTATGAATTATTTTTTATTAAAAGCAATTCCTTTCTTATTAAAACTAATAAATATTTCAATAATATTATGTTTATGAATTATAATTTATTAAAAGCAACTAATTTTCGTCTAAGAAAATGTTTAATTAATGATGGATTATGTTGGACAGATGGCGATTTGTTTTGGAGTTTTAGTTACAGAGCGCAAATATATTCTCAGCAACGTTTTATGGCAAAAGTACTTCTTATTTCATGCTTCAAAGTATTTCATTATTTCGGAAGAAGCAAAACTAACTATGTTAATGAGTTGCATTTAGTTTTGACAATTGCTGCGCGAGTAAGCTCTTATGAGCATTAAGATCCTAATTTTTTTTTCACTAAGCCCATGAGGATTTTCATGTCTATACAAATCATGCCTAAATTTACTATACTAATTTTTTATTGATAAACTTTATTCGAATATATTTCATTTTGTATATTGTAAGTATTGGGCAAAACGTAGCAACACGAATATGTTATAGAAGTATGAATATGCTTGCCAAAACCATAAGAAATATTGATCGTTAAATAAAAAAAAGTAATTGAAAGCATGATTTACTGAGAAAATTACTTAATATTGGGCTCATGTTAGCTCTCTTACTTAAATAACTAACTATTAAAAATTTAAATGGCGAATAAAATTACTCTATACAGGTTTTATCTGGGATTTCGTGTTATTTACATTAAAATTTCTATTACACATGTGTATATTGAACATTCGTTAAATAATTTTAATGAACGCTGCCGGCTTGTCAGCCCTTGGCCGAAAGAAAATTAGTGTATTCCAGTTGCATACGGAGAGTCAAAAAAATTAACGAATACATTTTGCTGGTGGAAACGTCTACTTATGTAATTATCGATATTTTGATTTAATCGATACTTGTTGCTAATCTATAAATCATATTTGTTATTGTTCGTTCAACATTCGCATATTTTAGCAAACTTGAATTGTTTACAAAATGCAGGAAAATAAATATAGTGATTTAATGCAGAAAATAGAATTAGAGGAATTAAGTGTAAGTATCACGTATAAGGATTTATAAGGTACTGTCTAATGAGTTCTGCGAGGCCGAATGTACAATACTTTGCTTTGCCCGTATTATATTTGTTTTTAAATCTAAATTTTTATTAATATCAACTAAAAAGAAATTTATTTTAAGTATATTATTTATAAGGCTTACGGGAAAGGTGTATATTTTCTATTTGTAATGGAACAATCAATATCAAAATAAGTGTATAGCAATATAACCGACCAGATGTATTCCGTTATACTATCTAGCAATTTTAATTTATTTGGCGATTTATTAAGAGTGGATGCCCTTAGGATGTAATAGTTATTCATTTTAAATATTTTGCGAAATATCTGAATCGATATTCTATAACGGGAAAAAGTTTAAGCAATTTTCGCAACGTGAATTCGTTTGTCGAAAAATAGTTCTTTAAAACAATCTACGCACAGTAAAGTTTATGATTATTTCTTATTTTTTAGACAAACATCGACGTGGATTCTTACATTCAACTGCTGGCCATTTATCTCTATCAGGACAAAATGTAAATTCTTACAATATAAATATAAGAGAAATTTATTAAATTGGGGTTTTTTAATTTCAGAGCTGATGCGAAATTTTTATGGAAAAGAATGCCACAAGCTTTAAAAAAAGACAATATCGTATTAGAAAGATTGAATTTGGTAATGTGCGCTCTAATCGCTAACAATGCCACTGATTTTTTCAGACAAGTGGATTACCCTTGGTCAGGAAATATTAAGCATATAATGCAGGATCTTTTTGGTAAATACGAACTTAGTTATTTTTATTCCTATTTAACTGATATTTATCTAAAGGCAAAATTACGATTTATTTGGCGCCGTGATCTGATAATATGGACGGGTAGAGGAAGGTCCTCAGGATTAAAAAATTTATACACATATGGTATATGCGCCTCAAAAAAGGTGTGATAAATATAGTGAATTAGCGTGCATTACTTTTACAATTTTTAAACTTTAAATACAAATATATCGAAAACTAGAAGTCTGAGGCGGGTATGTGTATATACCTTTTTTATCCTGATGTCTCCTCTATCCGTTCATACCATCAAATCGCGGCAACAAAAAAATCGTAAACGTGCTTATCTAAATATCATATTTTAGAGCGAATGCGAAGGGATGTACTAACATTGGTTGGTCAAGCTTATATATCTATTTTCGAATATGAGCTGATGCAACTTACGCATTTATCTCGAGATGAATTAAAACAAACCTGCCATGCATTGGACTGGAAATATGAAAATGAAGATCAAAAGGCAGTAATTATTCCGAGAAAAGCAGCGCCAAATACTGAATTCACAGCAAGTTCGGAAGATTTGTTATTAAAATTAACAGACTTTGTTTCATTTTTGGAAAATTAAAAAAAATGTAAATGCAAAATCAAATTGTAATTGTTATTGAATACAGAAATACAGTCGGATGAATGACGACGTATTTATCGGAAATAGGGTAAACATATACATTTTTGCAAAGCCTAATTCGGAAACATTACACTTAGCCTTGCCAGTTTTTTTTTTTGAAAATATATAAATCTTAAAAGCGAACACACCTAAATCCACTTATCTTCAGTTTGTAGAAAACATTCGAAAAGAAACTGAGCTGTAATACCGTTACTTCGTTTCTCCACTTTTTTTTATTATTTTAGAATAATTGCAAGCAAAATCACCATCAAAATTCTACGATGGAATTGAGTATGTGGAGAGCGTATGTGGATCGATTTACACTAGTTATCGATGCATCACATTGTCGAAAGCATACAAACGGAACGATCGGAAACAAGTCCCTGTATTGAAAAGTTTTATATATAACAAAATATCTTCACGAAATTTGACATGGAAACTTGTCCAAAGCAACGTTAAAATCTCCGAAGAAATTGTTACTTAACATATAGTCCTATACTAACGGACCGATCAAAGTCAGTTGAAATCCGTGTGACTGTCTGTTCGTTCGTCCGTCTGCCCGTGCAAGTTGTAACTTGAGTCCAAATTAAGATATCTTAATGAAACTATCGTAGATGGGCGTAATCGGATCACTGTCACACGCACAAAACTCCAATAATAGAGAACGTATAAAGTGACATAACTAAGCCGTTAATTAAGATACAGGACTTTGGCACAACATGACATAACAATTCCATCTGCTTCTTTCATTCTAATAATAGTGTATCTTTATGCCTAAAATGGCTAAAATCAGGTGAAAACTTGACCTAGCCCCTATAAAACTAATATCAGAATTTTCGAACATCCGGCTGTCTTTACTCCATATAGATTGGTGATGGTATATGAGGTATCTCAAAAAAACACAGGGAGTATTTTATTAGTATGTGGCATGTATTTTTAATTAAGATTTTCGGGATTACATATTAAATATTTAATTTAAATGTTTATTGATATTTTTATTTATCTTTTGTTTATTTATTTTTCAAGAGTACAAAAAATAATTTAAAAAGTGTAAAGGAATTTTCATAAAGTTATGCGTACTTGAAGTAGAAAATAAAGGTAAATTTTTTAAAGGTATTACAAGTCAGAAAATTTGATTTTTTTTGGTTGATTTGGAAGAATATTCAAATAAACCGATTGATCATAACTTGGGATATCGTGACGACCGCATCGAAAAAAGTATCGATCGAATTTGTAAAATTTTTAGACTAGAATACCCCCTTAAGTATATTATGTAATATATTATTCACTGGGTTACATAAAGTCACCATTGCCTTTGTAGAGAAGGGACAATAAAGTTCGGAAATAAGAAAATATAAAAAAAAAAAATATAAGATAAAAGAATGCTTTTATAACGCATTGCAAGTTAAAAAATACTTCGATGTAATAATTTTTCTATTAATTCATTTTAATATTTCAACTTCAACATACACTTTCAACTACACTTTCTCATAATTTCTCAAATTTGTCCCTAAGCATACCGAAAAAATGCTCGTATTTGTCTTTGAGGGTTGGAGTTCTATTTTTTTATTACCTCTTTGTTGTCATTAATATATCATTGAAGAACAGTGAAATATTAAATTTATTTAACAGAAAAATTATTTCATCGAGGTATTTTTCAAATAAAACATATTTTAAATTTAAGAGTTTTTAAAACAATAAAAATATTTTAAAATATTAACATTAAAATAAATCGTTTTTTATTAATATTTTTTTTAAATATACATGTTTATACTAATGAAGAATTAAAATATTCACAAAGTTTATTTCTTAAATTAAGTGCAGATTGACTCGATGTATTAGCAGTTAGTAAATCGTGTCTGTTTACACTCGTCATATTGTAATTGTTTGTTTCCTCTGCAGCAGTAGAGTTCACCTTACCGAACCTCAGGAAATTGTGGAGCACTATTGTTGCTAATATAACCTGAAAATGTAGAGATGAAATCGTGTTTTTGATAATTTAATTAAATTGTTAATACTAATACTTTTTTGGCATTTTCCGGTGAAAAAGATATGGATGCGCTCAATACTCTCCACCGAGAAGTAAGTATACCTTAAAAACACAATTAGTAAAAATTATGCAACATACTTGCAAACTTGTACAGGATATGTTTTATACCGAAAGCAATCTCAATTTGTTTTCTAGCTTTACACAACGTTTTGTTGAAAACTGCTTTATTGACATCAATATCCGTTTCATAAGGCTTCAATATGTTTTCCTCTAAAGGGAATGCCGCATCAGCTATGAGTAGTAAGGAAAAACTATGTCTGAGTTGGGCAAGTTTGTTGCAGCTGGAACATCCATAGATTTATCTAAAATCCCTTTTCCAAACTGGGAATTCCGAAACATGCCGCCGTCGTTTTTACTGCCATATGCGCTAACGTCCACAAAAGTAAAACGATAATTGCTATCGCAGGCTGCAAGTAAAATCTGTGTCTGCATCAATTGTATCTAGTTGGCATTTTAGTCATAAATTCATTCATGCACTTACGATGCTATTAAATTGTTTATAATTAAAATTTTGTGAACGTGAATTAGGTGGGCAATTTATTTGTACATGTTTACCATCGATTGCCCCTAAACAATGTGGTAACTTGGTCACATTCCAAAAATCCTCCGAGATTTGTTTCCATTTCGCATTACTAGGTGGGTTCAAGTAATGACTGGCCAAAGCACGCCACAAAGCATCGCACGTCTCTAATATGATAGATCTGGCTGTCTCTAGGCCAATTCGAAACTTCATAGATAACAGACGAAGAGCGTTGCCATGAGCTAAGAAACTAGGAATTATATAAAAAAATTTCAATAAAGTAAACCAGTTTACTTCATCGTACTTACTGCAAGGTTATATACAATCTCTGCTCTGGCTCAATGGGATTTCTGCGGGAGTATTTCCGCAGCCATGGCTCAACCAAATTCAACAATACTTTAAACTGCTCATGAGTGAACCTAGTAGATTTCATAAATAATCCTGGATTCTTTTTGATCAATACATTAACTCCGCTTGAGTAAAATCCATGGTTTTTACGAGTTTTGAAAATCTCTTGGTTTCCACTGCGTTGTCTACATGCAATCATCTTCAAAAGTAGTAAGTCCTCCAGAAAGTCAATGTCATCCATAATTTTCAATTTCTTGTACACAAATAATATTTTTCTTTGCCCAATAAATTTCAAAATTACTATGTAAGTGAACAGTTTTGACATTTGACGCAGCGAACATATATCATATACATTGCCAATGGAGACTGCACATTGCTAATGTTTAGCAATTGATGTCTAAATACATTTCATGCCATACATTGCTAGCAATGAACTGTTATTTTGGTGATTTGATAGAGCTGTTTTTATTTGCACACAAATTTTGAACATATGTATATACATAGCTCGGGTGGCATGATGCTAGCAAAGATGAAATGCGAAAGTTTTGTACTTTTTATTATTATTTAAGTCTTAAATCATAAAATCTTATATTTCCAAATAAATATAAATTTGTAGAAAAGAGTGGAATCTACTGACAAATAAATTTTTGTCATCCTAATAAAATTTTCAAACAGTTCCTGAGCTCAAACATGCGCTTTATCAGCTCGAACATACCCATCCGACGCCATTTTGAGAATGAATATTTCATGATAGCAAATGCAGACACAAGAACATTGACAACCTCAATGGCAATTTATTTGACTGTTGGTTATGCAGGAAACAGTCACCGACGCAAAACCGTACACCGATAAGCTGATACGACTTATCTTACAATGTAAATGAACACTCAGCACCGTTTCTACCGTCCGCTTCTATCGACCGTGCTGTAGGATATCCGCTAAAATTGGATTTTTCCCGTAGAAACGAGAGAGCTGATTGCTCTCTTAAACAGAGTGTTGTCAGTCTCGATATTTTGTAGTAATTAAAAAATAAACTTGAATATATTTAAAATATTCTTAAACTAACTTGAAATTAGTCTCAAATATGATTATTTATAAATAGGTAGACTATTTTTAATAATTGGATTTTAGTTTTGATGTTTAACATTATGGAAAATTATAAACTAAAAGCTAGATGTATGCAAACAATGTATACATATTGAGCAATGGCAACATTGATGAAATTAAAACAAAAGCGAACAACTACAGTAATTTCTACGTTGCAACTTTTGACAAATTTTGTTCAATTCGGGTGGTAAGTACGGAAGGACAGGACGTCGGTGACTGTTTCCAGCATTAGAAATGTACATTGCTTGGGGTGATGTGGCGTTAGTAAAGAGCTATAAGCAATAAGTTGTAAACTCGAACAACGGTTAATAAACGTTAAGTTGTTTGAACTAGAAATATATATAAGTGTATAGTCAGTAAATTGGGACTTTTATTTAACAAGCGAGTGTTCGAACTCTAAAGTGAGTTACAAGGTAGACGTTTTACCGCGAAATCCGTTACAATATATATGTAGGTCAATATACATTATTAGTATATTAGATAATGGGTAATGAAATAAAGTCGATTTGTCTTTTTGATTGTGGTTTAGCGTTAAAAATGAATGAAATCGCATAATACTTTGATAGTATTCTAGGTTAGTACTTAGAGGGAGAGATTTTTGTTTGTTGCGAATTTCTCGTCCAGGCTAAAGATTTCTCGTTGCTCGTATTTTATAGTCATGCCATATAATTTGTTAGATGTTAGATAAGGAAATAAGGTATGTACCGCGTCCTAAGGTCTATTGTTCTATTTGAATCTTTTACTTTACAGTATACAAATTAAGCGCCAATCAATGTAAATCTTTGCACTTTGTCTTATGACTAAAAATTATACAAATCGGGTCAAAACTGTTCAAGCCCCCAGGTACCGAATATATGAACCCCAGTTCCTATTGCGAACTTTTTATCGAAAATATCGGTGAGTCCGTCAGATAGATTATTATAGAAACTCAGAAATAGTACTTATCTGATAATAATATGCCCGTGTGCCAAAAATGGGTTGATTCGGACAAATAATTCCTTTAGTCACCATATACCTAATAGAAAATATTTCGTATTTCCGGCTGACTTTATGCCGCATGTATTGCCCAATCTTTGAGTTATTTTAAAAAATTCAGTGAGCGTGTTATTCTAATAATAGTGTATCTGTATGCCTAAAATGGATAAAGTCGGGTTGAAACGTGCTCTAGACCCCATATATCTAGTGTCAGGATTTTTAAACATCTAGGTGACTTTACTCCGTATATATTGGGGATGGTATGTAGAGTACCTTAATGAAACTCAGAGAGCAACTTTTTCTGTTAATAAAATGTAATAATGTCAATAATAGATCAAATTCGGCCAATCCCCTAGCTCCCATATACCTAATATAAGATTTTCAAACTTCCGGTTGTCTTTATACCGTATATATTGGTCAGTATGTAAGATGTTTTAGCAAAATTTACTGAACGTATAAAAGGCGACATACTATAGTTTACTGCCGAAAATATGTGATATTAGTCTACGAATTACCCAAACCCTCATATACTAAATATAAAGATTTTCGTTATTCTAATAAACCCTGTGCTCAATATGTCAGTCAGTGTATGAGTTATATTATATATCACCTTATATAATATATATAATATATAATATTTATAAAATTGTTTGAAAATGTGTTCTTAAATATACCTGAACAATGTCAAAATTAAGTGAAATCAGCCCAGATCAGATTTGTGATATATATATAAATATATTATATATATATGTATATAACGGGTGTTTTTTTTAGAGGTATAGAACTTTAAATTGCAATAAAACAACGATGGATTATTCAATTAACATGCATTTTATTTATCCGATAGATAATCTTGTAGCATTACATTTTAAATATGATTTCTGGCATATGACCGCAACGGCTGGCTCGGATGCAGTCCAATCTGAACGTCCAATTTTCAATGACTTTTTCTAACATTTGTGGCTGTATATCGGCAATAACCCGACGAATGTCTTCCAAATGGTTAAGCATTTGTGGCTTATGCGCATGGACCAATGACTTTACATAACCCAACAGAAAGTTGTCTAGCGGTGTTAAATCACAAGATCTTGAAGGCCAATTCACAGGTCCAAAACGTGAAATTAGGCGGTCAGCAAACGTGTCTTTCAATAAATCGATTGTGGCACGAGCTGTGTGACATGTTGCGCCGTCTTATTGTCTTCACTCCAAATGCGGCAGTTTTGTTTGTTGACATAGCCATTAAACCAGAAGTGCGCTTCATCGCATTAACGTAGTGCGCGATACGTATTCCGCACAGAACCATTTTTTTCGAAATAAAATTGCACTATTTGCAAGCGTTGTTCAGGCGTGAGTCTATTCATGATGAATTGCTATTAAATCGCGGCATCTTGAACAGTAATACCAACTTAAAGTTCTATACCTCGAAAAAAAACACCGATATAATAATGAGTAGACTCTGCATACAAATTATAATTAACAAATAAATAAGGGCTAATGTCAGGTGTAACCAAACATTTCATACTCTTGCAACTTGCAAGGATCAATTTTGGGGAAATACCCTCATAATTTTTAAGACAGCTTGACCACTTAATTTCATAAAAATATCACAAATCTGATCTGGACTGATTTCACTTAATTTTGACATTGTATATTTATCAGTTCAGTGTTTGCATTCGATTATTAAGAATGAAGTGGGGAGCTAAAGAAAAAATCCTATTGCGGCGTGGAAAAAACGCAAGTGAAATTTATGAGCTTCTCTAAAAACTTAATGTTTGCTTACCGCACTGTGCAAGTGGTCGTCCTCGCATGGTCAGAATCAATCCAGCTATAAATATTGTTCGTGAACGCAATCGCGAAAATCCCCGTAAAAAACAAAAAATTATGTAAAAGGAAATTGATATATCGACCAAATCAATATCAAGACTTATTCGAGATGATCTCCACATGAAAGCCTATCGTCGATTAATCATCTGACAACGCGCTTGAAGGAAATTAAGCTCAACAGATACAAGTAACTTCTTAAGTGATCAACGGCTATGAAACTATTGTTTTTACAGATGAAAAAATGTTCACTATTGAAGAAGTTTTTAAAAGGCAAAACGATAAAATCTACGCCAAAACTTTTAAAAGACGCTACAAATGTTATTCTAAGGGTTCAACGTCTTCACCACCTAGCTGCTGTGATATTTTTGTGGGGAGTACTTTCTTCGATGCAGAGCATTGGAACTACCAGCAAGATTCTGCTCCAGCACACAAGACAAAAAGCACCCAGCCGTGGTTTAAAAGCAATATTTCTGGTTTCCTAGATGCAGATGATTGGCCGTCTGAAAGCCTAGATTTGAAGCCATTGGACTACAATTTCTTTAGAATCGTTTGAGGGCTTGTGTGAAAGCAAAAGGTAACCATTTCGAATATAATTATGTACATCGCTTATTCAATTTTCGCATTGTTAAATAAAATTAACTTTATTAAAAAATTTCATACTGATAACGGCCTGAACTTCAATTCAATTTTATACGCATTTCTTTCATTACTTTTGTTGTTATTCGTGATTTAGTAGTTCTCTAAAATATAATCTTTTACATGGCAGAAATAATATCGGAGGTTTAGAAATATCTGACGAGAGATGACAGTCGTTAGTAAAAACTGTTTCTACGAGTTTAAGCCCTCAGATCGAAAATCAGGCAGCTAACTTACTCTATTGCAACAGCCGACAGCTTAGAAACGAAAAAAGTATCTCAATATACTTGTATTATATAAATTTCGCTCAACTAAATCATTCAAACAGAAAATAAAACTTTTATATACAAGTAAACAGAAATTATTTAATTGACTTGAATTGGTTTACCTACTTGTATTAAGTCCATCCAATAACGCCAATGTTTAAAATAATTTTTAGTTTTTACAAGTTGGTTACCGATATCGCTAAACCATTCAAAAAGCGACAGTTCAGAAATCATAAGTACAACTGAGGAGTGTCTTTTCAAAAGGGGATATCTACATTTTAAATTATTTTTCACAAAATGAGAAAACGTTATGTTATGAAATATACAAAGCTATATTTTTATATGTAAAAATAAACCGTTTGGAAACGGAATTCACATTTAAAGCTTTTTACTTGGAAACTATTTCGAGTGCATACTTACTAAGTTAAAAAGAAAAATAAAAATGTAAAAATTTTGAAAAAACGATCCTCAATTGTGAACATTGTTTTTATCGAATTTTTTATCGATTTAAGATTTTTACAATTTGTGTTAATTGGCAATATGTATAAAGTCCTCATGTTTCATTCAATTGCATTGCATCTATTAAGTGGTCCAAGCAAAGTTATCAAAATGATGTAAAACTTTCTTACTAAATGCAATAATGATAAACAAACAAGAAAAAACGTTAACTTCGGTTGCACCGAAACAATAATACTCTTCACAAATAAATCAG